GATATTCTGATAGTAACAAGTATGGTAAATTTTTGTGGATGTGCGGTTGTGAAAAAAATAATAAATTATTTTGTTTTGTGTGTTTCCTCAGTAATAATTTAAAATCAAAGGTATGTGGACAAGTACTTTTTTACTTTTATTGAATGCATTTTTGTACTTATTTCCGTCACACAATTTCGTCTATTAATTGGTAATAACAGCCTGTTTTATATGTATGTTCATATTTAACTGATCAATCAAATTGTGTCTCCCATTTCAAAAGGTCACGGGCCGCAACTGACATTTTTGCCGAATTTATTCAAATTTTTTAATGTTTTTGGGATAAAACGTTACCTCAAAATTTTGCGTAAGATATATATATATATATACTTGTGGTTTATGCATCCGCTATGACTTTTTTTAACCTGTGCATCCAGATTTTTGCAAAAAAAATAAAACTATATACATCTTACAATTTAACTTAGAAACTACAAAACCGAATGCTTTGAAATCATACAAATATTTTAAGGATATTGTTAATCAACATTTTGTATTATTAAAAAATTATTTTCTAAATTATAACTCCACTCATCTAGTTTCTGCCTATAATAATAATAATAATGCGAAGGTGCAGGTTCGATCCCCTCATGGGTCACTTATTGCTTCTCGAGCGTAAGCTAAGGAAGTATAGTTAACGAGTCCATCGGCCGACGTGTCATGACCTCTAGAGTACAAAAAAGTGGTACCCCGTTTGCATCGGTCTGTCTGTCTATCTGGTGTCTGCATCATTTTTATTAGACACGTAATCTTCGAAACTACCGGACCGATTGTTGTCAAATTTTGTATGTATATAAGGAATATCATGTAGATAGTTAAACGCTAACTAAAATTTGGCTAATCATCCCCACTACCAATGGGATGACGTCATCTCCAAAATTTACAATAGTAAGTTTTTATTTAATTCCATAAAATAAGATACTCCTGCACGTGTAATGTGTGAATCCATGTCGAATTTTCACCCTGGACATCCAGATTTTTGGTGTCGATTTATTTTACTGAAATCGGGTACAGCTCACTCCATTTTCCTTTACATTTATTTTAACGTTACAAACATATCTTTATTTAAATTTGCATAGATTCTCATAAAAAAAATCGCATAATGAAATTTTGTAATTTTTCTAAAAAGCTAGCTTTTTTTACAGCCACGCCATTTCAATATAGTAAAAATGCTTCAAACAAGTGATTGTTTCTCATTGCAGTTTCACTGACCATTTGCCATTGGTATTTAAAAATTTTATAATTTTTTACTACAAATCCATTTTTGTCACTTCCCAACACGAATTTTTAATGTTATTATTACTGTTCATATAATTTGAAACATCATTCTTCTTTCTACTTTGGTTTGGCTTTTTGCTTCCCGAACGTAGACTTATAGGGAAGTACTGTAATAGGGTCCATTTGGCGATTGGCGCATTTCATTTCATATTCCTTCAACACTTCAACGTTTCATAATCCCTAGGATATCAAAAATAGGTCTCCTTTTCCGTCTATTTGTCATCTGCTGACGATTTTATTAGACAGATAATGTTTTTGACTGGACTAATTATTATGAAACTTTAGATAGGTATATTTTAAGAATACTATATAGCTGGATGATAAAAATTAATACAAATTTGTCTAATCTAATCAGTAATCCTCGAGTAACTCCTGATTAAAGTAGGTATGTTTCTACACTTGTGATTTATTAATCCGTCCTTATTTTTTACCTTGGAGATTAAGGTTTTTGTATTTTATAATTTAATTTAGAAAATATAAAACCAACTGCTCTGAAATATGACGAACATTTTAAAGATACAGGCTCAGAAATATTTCCTGAAGATGTAGATCTTCAGGAAATATTTCTGCACTTTGTTATGCAATACCGGTTTTTTTTTCAAAGGTTGGGACGAAATATGTTGATGTTAAAAATTTGCATACCAAAGTAACCATGAGCAAATTCAAATGGCAGGCACAAAAGACTTACTCTTATAAGATATTTAATGTATTGGAATAGAACCAAATATAAATTATTGTTAATATTCTTTGACATTGTGGTGACCGAATTTAAATCAAATTTTTCGCGCTGAAATTAATTAACAGCGGCGCGAAATCACATTTGAATAATTTGAATTTGAAAAAAAAAAAGTTCAATCACGAAAAGGAAATCGTTAAACATAGGCAACCAAATACATGGTTGGGTTAATGCATGATCATTGGGTTAGATGGCAGCACGTAGCGCTAGGGTGATTTCAGTTAGAGGGTTGGTAGAAAAACTGGATGGCAGTAGAATGTGTCATTCTGGTGTGTTTGCTGTAAGTGTAACCACGTGGTAAGAGCTAGGTTTAAATTAGTTGGTTTGGTAGTTAATAAAACGGGAGGAAGCCTTTGTTTAACGACGATCAAACTTATTTTTCATAATGATATAGTTGTCCCCAATCCGCGCGGGTAAATTCTTGCGCCCTTTTAATCGAGAATTGCAGACTTCCGGTCGACGCGAGAAACCACGTGGTGTAAAGTTGTTTCTTTGTTTGTAAATTCACCAGTCAAGCTAGTTTTTCTTAATACTCATCTAGAGCAAACACAATTTAACAATCAGGATTATTTAAATAAACCATTTGCTGGGAGATTTCATGAAATTCAATTAGTCAGGAAAAACGCCTTATGTTTAATTACGAATAGGTCTCTGGATGCATATACGTAAGTGTTACATTATAACACTTCTAAATTCTTCACACAAGATTGCTAATAGTTCATTTACGGCAGTTAAACAAGTTCATTATACTGCGGACTGGCGGGGGGGTTATGATATTTTCTCCCCTTAGGTGGTTTTCATCGTTATCACGATTAATTCATCGGGGCATGCTTCACAACGCCAGATTGATTAATTAATCAAGGCATGCCCCCAACGCTACAGAAAATTTACATCACCGAGACGCTTTTTCCTCGCAACGATTTTGAAATTTACATCCCCGAGACGCTTTTTCCTCGGAGCGATGATTTGATATTTTTGTGTTTGTTTATTATGTGTTTTGTTGGGGTAACCAGTTCGTAGTATTTTAAACTCTCAAAGTAAATTATTTTTGAAGTAACCAATCATTTAGATCATAATATAATTTGGCATAATGTAAACTCTTTGTTTGAACCGTTGATAAAGTGTGGCAAATATTAATCTCCTGTAAATTTTGGTAACTCTGCAATTTTCCACCTCATACTATATTTCTTAATCTCACAATTTTAACCTTAGTAATTTTATTTATTGTATAATTTTAATGGAACGTAAATTTCATGTTCGACAGTTTTGACCTCACATAATATTTCTATTTGTACAAGTTTATTTCACACCAGATCTTTTGTTGCATAAATCCTTGCTAAGTTTTGTTTTGTAAATACTTTGTTGCTGAATGTTTCTATGATATAAATTAATTGATGTCCAACTTTAATCTCACATAAGAATTATTTGTTGTTTAAAATTTCACAAGATTGTATGGCGAATTTAATTGTTGTGTATTGCTCTTTGTTGAAACTTTAACACTTGTTCGGTTGTCATTTAATATTAGAGTCATAGAGTTTGAACATTTAAATAGAATTGAAGGTAAATAACACAATAACACGTAGTGTCGGCGATGGGCGCGGTTCCTAGTTGGAGGTAGCGGAATGTATCGCGCTATCTGCACAAGATGTGCAGGCTTTGAATAAGATTTCAGTGGGAACGGTCTGGACGACGAGGTAGTTGTCGACCAAACTTCACCTCTAGTTTTTAGGCCGAAACGGCCTGCTAGGACTAATGTGACTCGATCTTGAAATGTGTGGCAATTAGTAACTTTTATGAAATAGAAATATATCTGTGTCCTTGTTATGCTCCGTCTTTTCGACAGCAGGTATTTTTTGCTTCCAGTATGGCGATCCTGTTACTGTCATTTGGCCGTCAATTGCTTTGGTGGTAACACGTCTTCCACGACTGTTTGCTGGTTACCGGTGACACTTTCTCGTTGAATAGGGCTGGAGTTACTTTGGGACTAGAATAGTGTTCTTTCCGGTCCGTTAACTCAATAATTCTAGTACAGTCTGTCGTAACCTCAAATCGTAAACACATCAAACTTTCGTTGACAGATAGCGAAAATTACTAGCCTCGCGCTATCTTTGTTTAACACATAGGTTAGGTTCCTCTCTGTCGAATTCCGACCACAGGCAGTTTGCCGTACTTTCTAAAAGTAATAGTAGATCTAGTGACTTTAGCTAGGACGGCATGTTCGTCATGGAGGGGTGCTGTGCGGCAGGCTTTGGTGTAGATAGAATCACCGCCGCGGGGGAAACCAGCCCAGACCGAGAGCCCCAAATTTCACTCACGCTACGACGCCCCCTCTGGGTATTTTGTTGTGCTCCTGTTAACTGCCGTAACTTAAAAAAAAAAGGGGAAAAAGGAGATCGGCCGCCACACGCCTGTAATAACTTGTGTATTTGCATCCAGTTACTTGATTCAGCTTTTACTTTGTTTTATTAAATTTGTGATATTCAAATATTTGCATTGATTCCAAACAGATGCATAGAATTTCCGTTTGTTCGTTTTTCATATGTGTCTGTCTGTCAATTCGCGAGTGTTTTTCGAAAAAATCGATATGTTGTACACTTCAAGGACGGGGGAAGATCTGCCTAAATGACCGTAGATCAGTTTATTAAAATGGGCTACTTTCAAAAAATAATTTCGTCCAACTATAACTCTAATTTTGCTGAAATTTTTTTAATATTTCGTACTTGTCGTACTTGTTAAAATTACGGCTGATGACGTTTTTAATTAAAGTTTTCCAAAATTTGCCTTGAAATGACAGCACTGTATCTATTGTGCTTCAGAAACGAGGATGGTTTTGTGTAAACAATTTTCCTTGATTTGTGGTCAAGCCATTTCAAAATATTGATTGTCAAAAACTATTTTAAATTACCCGCCGTGATATTTTGTTGGCAGAGCTGATTTCCCTAACAAAAGCGCAAACTCACTACTTGAACTTGACATCCTGACATCCATTCATTAACTTTGCTATCAACAGAAAACAAGGGTTTCATTATTATCGTGGAACATTCATCGCAAGCAAGTTAAAACGAAAACCACTTCTTCATACTCAACAGAAGCCAAACGATTGCAAGACTGAAGTTTTAGTAACGTAAGCAACAAACAAGTAACAAAATGGGTGAAGTGGGCGAAGAAAAATCTCAAGAACGAGTGTACGGGGGTTGCGAAGGTCCCGATGCGATGTACGTTAAGTTAATTTCGTCGGATGGTCACGAGTTCATTGTAAAACGGGAGCACGCCCTAACTTCGGGTACTATCAAAGCAATGCTGAGCGGCCCAGGTCAGTTTGCAGAGAACGAAGCCAATGAAGTTAACTTCAGGGAAATTCCGTAAGTTTGTAGTTTATTGTAAGCTGGGTTTAGTTATATTTACTTATTGTCTCTTTAGGTCTCATGTACTTCAAAAAGTTTGTATGTATTTCACATACAAGGTTCGTTACACTAATAGTTCAACTGAGATCCCAGAGTTCCCTATTGCGCCCGAGATAGCGTTGGAGTTACTAATGGCTGCGAATTTCTTAGATTGTTAGATACGCCTCATACGCCAGTCTTAATATGCGCATCCGAATGTCATTTAGTTTAATTAATTTACTGTAAGATTTTGTGTTATTGACTAATTCAATCTCCTTTTGTGATGCTAGGTGATTAAATAAAAGTCAAAGCTATTGTTCTGTACATTTATTAAGTTTGTCATGCTAGAAACAGTTTTTTACGTTACGATTACTAAAATTGTATTATCACAGAATAAGTGAACACCACTCTCTCCTACTTACAACTAAAGACACCCGTAAAAATAAACATACCAAATAAACATAGTTTCTTTTTTAATTCGGTTTATAATTTATATTCGAAACTCTTAAAAAATAATTACAACGGGTCAAGTTTTGGAAGCTTTTACATAATACTATTTATATTTTTAATAGCGATTATTAAAAAGTATAAAAACCCACCATTTTGTTTTAAATATTCCCATCACAGTCTTTTAAAATTTAGTTTTTTTTTTTTCAATACAAATCGACATCATGATCGCATAACAGTAAGATTAAAATCATAACTGGTAATAAAAATTACAACAAATTAGGAGTGAACTTGGTCCGATTAGTTAACAATATCTTAAAGAAACAATAATTAATCAACAAAAACTAAAACAATTAAAAACACAATTTATCTGCCAAATCATTAAGTCTATGCTACCTAAAAGCATTGACGATATTGTTTAGTTGGTCGATAATTTTCTGTAGCCGCTTTCCTTCTTGTTCTTTTAAAAATAAAACTGAATGTAATTCCCTCTGACGTCGTTCAAGATATTTCACCTCAAATTGTTTCATAACAACCTCGTCCTTCACAGAAGAACATCTCAACGACAACGAATCAATTTCCCTATCACGTTCTAAAATTAAAAATGGATCTATAGTTGTCAGCGCAATTCAAAAACGGAACAAACCTTTTGAAAATGTATAATAAGTTTCCATAAGATCTTGCACTCCTGGCCACATTTGTGATGTTGGATTTTCCCATTCTTCAGTTTGAACTTCTTCTGTTTTTACTTCCTTTTCAAGAGAAGTACTGTTACTGTTGTGCATTACTTCCTCCCTAACTTCTTGCTGTTTATCGACGCTGTTTTTCTCAATTTCTTCAAATATAATCTCTTCTCTATTGTCAACATTTTTAGCAGAGTTGTTGCTGTTTTTTGGGGTATTGTGAATTTCCTTTGGTTTAGCCACTTTTTGAGTAGGTTTAATGTTGTTGCTGTGTATTTCTTTTGGTTTAAACTCCTTGTGTGGAGGTTTATTGTTGCTGCTCTTCATTTCTTCTGCTTTAACGTCTTTTTGGACATGTTTGGAGTTGTTTCTATGAATGTCTTCTACTTTCAATTCCTTTGGAATTCCTGGTTTATTGTTGCAATTTTTCTGAATTTCTTCTGGTTTACGTTCCTTTTGAATAGATTTGCTGCTGTTTTTTTGAATTTCTTCAATTTTTGATTCCTTCTGGACAGGTTTACAGCTGTGGTTCTTATCCTCAGTTTTCACGTCCTTTTGAATTGGTTTAGCATTATTTCTATGAAGCTCTTCTGCTTTCAATTCTCTTTGAACTGACTTATTGATGTTGTTCTTGTGATTTTCATCCACTTTAACTTTATTGTTGTTGTGGATTTCATCTCCTCTATGTTCTTTCTGAAGAGGTTTATTATTACGTTTCTGAATTTCTTCCATTTTAAACTCTTTTGGAGGGAATTTGTTAATGTTATTTTTGTGAGGTTCTTCTATCCCAAGTTCTCTTTGACCGGACTTATTGTTGCTATTTTTGTGAACTTCCTCCACTCTAGCTTCTCTTTGAATATGTTTGCTGTTGCTGTTTTTGTGAATTTCGTCTAATTTAACTTCCTTTTGAACTTTTTTTTTATTAACGCTTCTGTGGATTTCTTCAGTTCTAACTTCCTTCTGATTGGGTTTATTGTTGCCGTTTTTGTGATTTTCTTCAACGTTAGTTTCCTGTTGCAGAAGTTTATTATTGTTGCTGTGAATTTCTTTGACTTTTACTTCTTTCTGAACTGGTTTGCTGCTGTCGTTCTTCTGAGTTTCGTCTGCTCTATCTTCTTTTAGCAAAGGCTTATTGTCGATAATTGTCGGAGTACTACTGTTGTTTATAGAAGTATGAGTGTTGTACATAGGACAGCTGTTGTTATTTTGAGGACTTTCCACTAAAACCATCGTCAGCGGTATATAATTAAATTCGATATTTTTTACGTTGCTCAAAGGATCTTCTTTCTTGTGTGCTGGAATTTTTTGGCCGTACTGGTGAACTATGGGTATTTTAAAAGCCAAGTCTGTACAGTTGTTACTGTTATTGTTCGTTTCAATTAGGCCATTTGGTTTTAATTTATTTACAGCTTTGTGTTTTTTATTCGCTTTAGTAGTATACTTCGTTACTCCAGATTCACAGTTTCTTCGTACTCGCTCTTCAACAATTTTTATCCATGTCTTTTCCAGTTCTATGAAGAAAAAAAGTCAAAATTAGTACAATTCGAAACATTTTTCAGTCTACTAGTAAAAGTAAAGTTAAAAAATATAATAGCACCTCACTTGAAATTGTTTAAAAATAAAAATGAATGCCAAGTGATATTATTTTATCTTTTATTGTTTGATATCAAGACATCGACATGTAATTAGTTAATTACTTAACTCCCACTAAAGTGTCGACGTTAAAGCTAATTTACCTTGTCTCATTTGTCCAGGAACAGTCCGCAGACCCAAAACTTTAAAGAAATTACTCTTCGTTTTAAAATCCGGCAGATTATTCAACACAGCCGGTGACTGCAAAGGCACTGGTAAATTTAACGGAGCAACGCGTTCGGAATCGTCTATGAATTTCCACGTCGGTTGCCATTTTCGTTTTTCCAATTTTTCCAATTCAATACCTGCACAACAAGAGAAAATGAAGAATTCAGTCACTTTGGTGAGAAATTTCTGGAAATGTTTCAAAGGGAAACGCTTCCAGGAAATTTCAGGGATTTTCTATTATTATGGTGAAAAAATTGAAAAATAGTGACCCCATATTTTTCAAATAAGCTACGATTTTTTAAATGAAGTTTTAGATATCAGAAATAAAAGATGTATATAAGCATACTCTTTACACAAATTTCCAAGGTTCTAGTGAAATCGTATGAAAATTTAAAAGAATCAAGAATTGCAAAAAGATCCTCAGAGGCGTCCGTCATAGTTTCTCTGTCATGAACTTTTCTACCTGCGATGGGTACCTGTACCTGTTTATATTATTATACTCTCTAACAGATTCATTCGCATTGGTGCCAGCATGTTTACTAGTTTACTTAAGTTACCTTCCTGAAGTGTGGATGTTACGCTACTGACTGACAGTCCGTTGTCAGATTCTGATGACTCACCATGTTGAAGTTAAAATAATCCATCTCTAACAATCCTTGGGCACTAGAAAGTAGCAATCTGACGCTCAAGTGTTTATTTATGTTTATACTTCGAAAGAATGTCACGTAGAAATTAGTTTGATTTGAATGAGTTTGTCTTCACAAAACAGAACTAAAATATGCAGATCCAAAAAATATGAATGGAAGCATCATACGATTTAAAACCCATTTACTATGTACAATTTTGAAGTGACATCATCACATTATTGGTAGGGATGATTATACAAATTTTGGTTAGCATTTTACCATCTACATGATATTTCTAATATAAATACAAAATTTGACAACAATCGGTCCAGTACTTTCGGAGATTATCCGTCTAATAAAAATCCGGGGCGGCAAAAAGACGGAAACGGGAGACTTATTTCTTCGTATTGTAGGGGTCATGAAAGATCGAGAAAACGTAGAAGTAGAGAGTCGGTCGACGAATTCGATTACAATACTTCCTTCGCTTACGTTCTGGAAGTAAAAAATGCAAGTGTAAAAACACGTGACAAAATATTAGTGACACCGAGACGTATATACAGGGTGATTATACAGTATCGAACATAAAGTTGGCAGCCTGTTGTATTGGTTGCCTACCTATCAGGCAGCAAGTAAATAAAAAAAGTTAAGGCTATAATTGACATTTGTACAGATGCTATCGCGAGGCGACAAAATTCAGAAGATTTGAAAGAAAACTACAATAATAAAATAACTGTCATTAACATATCCAGTTTTTTTTATCATTATAGATTCATAAATATAAAAATTTATTTAGAAAAGAGACACACAGCACTCAAAATTGTTCGAGTTGAGTTAAGATGGCCGACCAAGACGGTGGTTCGCAACGTGTTGTGTGCTTTGTGTGCAGTAGAGTAGCTGTTAAAAAACGCATCTTTTGTGCAGATTGTCAAGTCTGGTCACACATTGGATGTGCTGAAAGAAAACCATGTTGTATGCCTACAACTCCTGTTCAATTGCCTGATCCAGATGATCCGAATGCGATTAAATACTTGGTAACTGCCATAAATTCTTTGACCTCTTCTATCTCAGATATGAAAAAGTCCATCAACGATATACTATCAGAAAATAAAAAACTCCGAAAAGAGTTGGAAGATATAAAAACAAAGGGATTTACTAACAATGTTGATCAACAATCTGATCCAAATATTGAGGAAGTTATTTCAGAAGCCAGGGATCGTATTCATCGTGAAAAAAACATAATTATCACAGGTCTCCCGGAAACAAATGGATCACCTGAAGAACGTAAAAGGAAAGACATGGAAAAAATAACGCAAATTATATCTACCGCTATACCCGAAAATGATTACAAAATAATGTCTGCCATGCGTCTCGGAAAATCCAGCTCTACCAAACCCCGCTCCATTAAAATAGTTTTCGATAATTCCGCCACAGTTAATGTTTTAGTTCGAGCTAAACCTAAAATCGACTCTGTTTATTTTAACAATGATTTAACACCCATGCAACAACAGGCCTATAACATACGCAAAGAACTTCGCACAAGACGCGAGAATGGCGAAAAGGATCTCCGTATACGCTACAAAAATGGTATGCCTACAATTATCAAGGCTACAAAAAACCTCACTCCGATCGTAAAACAGGATTAAGTCTTTTCTACCAAAATGTGCGTGGTTTACGAACAAAAACGACAACTGCTTTTCTAAATTCCTTGAATATGGACTACGATATTATTATATTAACAGAAACTTGGCTTTGTAGTGAGATAACAGATGGTGAAATTTTTAGTAGTGACTACATAGTATTTCGCTTAGACCGTGATCTAAGATCCTCGGAAAAAGTTCGTGGCGGTGGTGTTTTGATAGCTGTGCGTTCATACCTTCAAACCGACATGGTACACGTTCCTACTACTATATGTGAAGAATTATATGTTTCCATCAGGTGCGAAAACTATTTACTAATATGTGGCGCAGTTTACATTCCTCCAAATTCTAGTATCGATACTTATCTTCAAAACATAGCCTCCATTGATTGTATTCAAACATCTTTTCCTGATGCTTTACTTTGCATAGCTGGAGACTATAACTTACCAAACCTTGTTTATTCATCTACTATAGAAAACCTTATAACAGGAACTAGTGATAAAGATAAAATTATTTGTGACAGCTTCTCTTCACTAGATTTAATTCAATACAATCGCGTAGCTAATAACAACGACGTTATCCTCGATTTAATACTTAGTTCAATACCAAATACCTTTGTAAAAAAGTTATCTCAAGGTTTAGTTCCAATCGATTCCCACCATCCGCCGCTTTTGACGCTTATTAATCTTCCATATTCTACACCCTCTATTGCTCCATTAGCAAGTTGGCGTTATAATTTTAAAAATGCCAACTATAGCGAATTAAACGACTACTTTTCTTCACTTAATTGGAATTCCCTACTAGATTATAACGATATAAACTCAGCAACTGACTCTTTTTATTCTATTATATTTTCTGCTATCGATATATGTATTCCTAAATCTAGACTACATAATTGTCATTTTCCAGCATGGTACAAGCCTGACACCATCAAACTTATTAACAAAAAACGTAAAACTTTAGCCCTCTATAGAAAAACTTCAAATGAAAGTCATTACAATTCTTATAGACATCTTCGTAGCCTTTCTAAAACGGCTATCAAAAATGATTACAAAAAATACTTAACGTACATACAAACCAATTTAAATCATAATACGAAGATCTTCTACAGTTTTATCAACTCCAAAAGTCAAAACTCCAAATCTTATTTTCCCAAATGTATGAATTTTGGTGACACCTGCTCTTCAAAACCTAAAGACATTGCCAATATGTTTGCCAATTTTTTCAAGTCTGTTTTTAATCAGGATGTTATCGACCCTAATATGACACTAGGCCTTTCAAGCGTCAACAACTATATCGATTTACACGACATAGATATCAGCATCGATGAAGTAAAAAATAAATTACTGTCCCTTAAATCTAGTTTTAATCCTGGACCAGATGGTATTCCTTCATTCTTCTTAACGCAGTGTGCTTCCAGTCTTGCCTGGCCAATCTGGATTTTATATAGTAAGTCTTTGACATCTGGTACATGCCCAGACATCTGGAAACAATCTTATGTCATACCTTTGTACAAATCAGGTGACAAAAAAGATGTTACAAACTATCGTCCTATTTCGATTATAGCAGCTTTATGCAAGGGTCTCGAAGCAATCATCAGTGATACATTAACTAGATCTTTTGCAAAGGTTTTGACACCTCATCAGCATGGATTTCTGCCAGGAAAAAGCACAGTAACAAATCTCGCCGTCTACAATGAATATATCATTGATGCTTTAGAGGAGGCAGCTCAAGTCGACGCTGTATATCTAGATTTCTGTAAAGCTTTCGACAGAGTCAACCATGCCCTTCTTTTAAAGAAATTAAAGATTTATGGCATACGAGGTTCTCTTCACCGCTGGTTAGCTTCTTACCTATTAAATCGTACCCAAAAAATCTCAGTGAAAGGCTTTTTATCAGATGCTATTTCTATTCCCTCGGGAGTCCCACAGGGCAGTCACATCGGTCCTATTTTATTTTTAATATTTATAAATGACCTGGCACTATCACTTAATTTTGTTAGATTTTTATTCTTTGCGGACGATCTTAAAATATTCATTAAAGTTAGCGACCTTGCAGTATATGCAATATACTCTTATAAAAATAACCAACTGGTGTAGTGAAAATAGCATGCAATTAAATAACAAAAAGTGTAAACAAATAACATTCTCCAGGAAAAAATCCACTATAAAATTTTCATATAGCATTGACAACCAAATCCTGGAGGCTGTTAGCGAAATTAGGGACTTTGGGATCATTTTTAATTCGACTTTAAGTTTTGTTAAGCATATAGATTTTGTAATCGATAAGGCTTTTCGAGTTAGTGGTTTCATAAGAAGAATGACTGCAGATTTCCATAGCATCATAGCAATTCGTAAGCTCTTTATTACCATGGTTAGACCAATTTTAGAATATGGCATTCTTATATGGTTTCCTTCATATGCAATTCACGAAACTCGCCTCGAAAGGGTACAAAGAAAGTTCTGTAATTATTTAATGTTTAAAATGGGTCTCAATAAATCAAATTACAATTATAATCAAAGACTTGCTATAACAGAACTAGAGACTCTTACACAGCGTAAGTTAAAATTTGAGCTTAAGTTTGCATATAAACTGTTCAATAATCAAATTGATAGTGCCGAATTCTTATCCTTATTTAATTTTAGAGTACCTTTGGTACATACTAGGAACCAGGACACAATCTTATGTTCGTTTAAAAGAACAAATCTCGGTTACAACACTTCTGTAGTAAATAGAATAGGATTGGCGGTTAATAACTTAGTAGATATAGACATCTTCAGTTGCTCGCAACATATGTTTAACAATTATTTAAGACGTTTGTAGTTATAAGGACATCTTATTTCATATTTTGTTTTTTTTTTTTAAACTATTGTCTATTTTGGAACTTTGTTCTGTTAGTCAATAAAATTTATTTATTTATTTATTTATTTATTTATTTAAAAAAAAATTAAAAATCTTCAAGTTTTTGATATTTTTGGACTGTTTAAAAATGAACAAACTGAACAGACGTGGGTGGAACCACAATTTAATGTGGTAAAAATTTGAGTAAACATCATTATGTCACTTATACGTCAGCAAATGTTCAAATTCACATTACATCTGTCACTTGTGTCATTCTGTTTAAGCTTCAAAATTTTGACAAATCAAGTGTAAACTCGTTGCGAATCCACTAAAAAAAAAAAATATAAAATTTTGTCTGCCGCTTTAATTCTTTGTATTTTTTATTATGGTAAATCGTAAATTATAGTAAAAATAGAGGTGGGTTATTAAAGTGTAGGCATGCTGTGCATATGCTTCAAGAGAGATTTTAATCACAAATTTTTTTGATGACGTCATGAACTTTTAAGTAGGGGCAACCATAACAATTTGGATGGACACAGTGTCATACTAGTAACAAGTGTTTAAGTGAAGTTAGCGTTGATTTTTCTAAACATTGTGAAACATGTCTACAATAAACCTAAAATTTAATCAACGTAGAAGTGTCAATTATGAACAATAGTATGAATTAATAAAACACATACGTTTTTCAATTAAAAAAGCATTGCCAACGTGATGATAATGATAATTTTTAGGCACCCTATATAACAATTAAGCTAAGGAAGTATTGTAATATAGTCCATTAGACGAATGGCTACTTTCAGGTTTTCAAGATGTTTCATGCTCCCTAGATTACGAGAAAGTAGACCTCGTGTTTCCGATTGTCTGTATTGATTTTCATTATAGTCTGTTATATTATCTCGCAAAATACTGGATCAATTGTTGTCAAATTTTCAAATTTTATATGTACCGTTGCAGGCACAGAATCTCGGACATTGATGTCATTTCACTGATATAATTTGTGAAAACATTCTGTATATACAGTCGTGGCCATGAAAACTGGACCAGTTTGACATACACAAAGTTTTAGTTGTGTTATTATTATTTTTTAATATCGTTGCATCATAGCAATTTGAATATAAGTACGCTCCTAACTGATTTGATTTTAAAATTAATTAAAACCATTTTTTTTTTATTTTGAAGGGTATGTCAAAACCTAATGGTTCAGTTTTATACCATACCATAACCATAGTTGTAAAAACTCTGCCCAAGATTCCGTGCTCGCAACAGTATGTTAGGAATATCGTGTGGAAGGTAAAACGCTAACCAAAATTTATCATTCCCACCAACAATTTGATGATCTCCCCCGAAATGTTTTTTTAGTACACGCCATTCAAATTTTATAAAACACTAGACTCTTGTACTTGTGATTTATGAACCTGTCTTGAGTTTCGCAAAAAACCCAATTGTGTAATAACCTTTTATATTAGTATAAGGCGATAGATAGATAGAAATGGACTCGACTGATAACTTGAAGGTCGCTCGTTTGAACCGCTTTTTTTTTTCTTTTCTTAAAATATAGCTCTTATTTAACCTATATTTTTTAACTTAGGGCAGGATCATTTTTTTCCGAAAACTATACCTGGACTATCAAAAATAAGGCTGGATTAATAAACCACAGGTACGGGAACATATTTTCTAAATCTTAGGAAAGATTTGTTTGGCGAACTAATCAGGTGACCTCTCATCACACTTTTAGTACGAACGAACAGACATATTTTGGTTATTGTTTACCACTTAGACTTACCTTTATACATGACTTTAAGTTAAGCTAAGTTAAAAATCTATACTAGAACTCACATTTGAATATCCTCTTTTACTAAAATATCTCGGTATTTTTAAGATTTGAATAGGTATCAAAATGGAACCATTATGCGCAATGGGGTCGTTATTTTTCATAACTTCTTCAATGATTTCGAACACGTTTGGAAATTCCACTTCTCGAAAATTTTGACAACACATTTTTTTCTCCAACCGCATGAAAAAGACACCACAATTTCAAATTATTTTCCAAAAAAGGCCCTTTAGAGATTATCTGGATCATTATAAATAATAACTTACGTAGCATGTTAACAATGTAAGATTTCTTTCTGAAGCATCAGATGAGAAATATTTTAATGATGAAGTTAAGAAAACCGATGTTAATTAGTTAATGTATTTGTAAATTCAATTAGCTAAATTGTGGTTTTCTATAATAAAAAAATAAAAGGTCCACATTATTTATGGTTCAACGTGGTTACTTAAAACTGTGTACAAAAAGCACGATCCTCTATCCGACCCATAATTATAGATAAATCAGGCTTTTGTGTTAAGAACAAATGGAAAACGTTAGAGAGATAAGTTATAGGCAAGAAGTAGCCATTTATTTAGGTCTGTCAAATCTGAAAGATTATACTGGCCATTGTTTATGGCGAACACCAGCCATATTCTAGAGAATGAAAGTGTCGATTTAACCGCCTTAAAAGAGGCAAAGTATCATAATCTTTAACGTAACTTGCAATGTTAACATTTACAATTGTTTTTGTTTTATTTTCTAAATAATATAGGATTTGGGAGTTAAAAGCGGTTGGAGAAAAATATTTTGCAAGTACTTTTTTTTTGGAAATTCTCCAAACTTAATTCACGCCATTTCCTCATACTTACAGTTCTTCTTCCGGTGCGTCGTCAGTCCAAAAATCTTGAGAAAACCGACCTTTTCCGGTTTCAGATCGAGCTTACACGGAGGTCCCGACTTGATCCATAGATCCACTTCTGGCCCTTCGCTCTCGCAATCCGAACTCGACAAAGAACTCGAACTGGAATTATCGGAATAGCCGTAAACCGACACGCCGAAATCCACGGTGACCTTTGTGTGGTTGTCGTTGACCAGCTTCGGCTCCTTCGGCTTGCTCGTCCGCTTCTGCCTGCGCATTTTCCTCTTCATCGTCGCCACGTCGATTTTACTCAACTTTTGGCGCTTAACCGGGGGCGCTTGCAAGTTTAAATTCGGTATGTTCAGTACTGTAAACGGGGTTTCGCTCGATTTCTGACAGGTGGCGCTTTCAAAGATGTCGATTTTTTTGGTGTTGGTGGTGTTCCAGAGTTTGTTGAACGGTTTCAACGTCATCGGCGTTTTTCGTGTGGGGTTGCTCGATTTCTCAATCGAATCAGTGGAATGTGTTTCGAAACAGTCTGTTTTACGTAACTCGTTCTGACTAGCACTATGAGGTGAGCTTATGTAGTTATTATTAATCGTAGGAACAACAGTATTTGGTAGGACCTGCTTATGGCATTCTTTTTCTATTGGTAAAGTAGGCGACGGGACCGGCAATTGGGGGCTGTGAGTCTGCTGACTGACGCTGTGAACCGGCGTACTCGCGTGTTTCACCTCGGAACTCATATCTGAATACGCGTTGTCGAAGAATCGTGCCTCTTTTATTTCCCTCATTTCCTCCCTAATCGTCTTCTCGCTATCAAAAAATCGCACTTCTCTCTTCTCCTCCCCATTTTCGTTATCGCTGTCGACGAAGCGCACTTTTTTTATTATTCCTCGCGGGTGTCTTTCGTTGTTGAACCGTGCTTCCTTCACTTCCTCCTTACTTTCCATCTCTCTCTCAAAAAAACGCACTTTTTTCATCCTCTCATCGTTGGTTTTATCGTCTTCGTAAAAATGTCCGTCTTCCCGCGCTCGGTTTCCATTTTTGAAAATGATCATTTCTTTGATTTCCACTCGACTTTTGTGGTCTTCGGGTGGAGGAACATTCGGGTGTGTAATTTCGAAGTTAATTGTTGCACCATTCTTCGGCGGTGGGGGTTCAGGATGTTCTTTGCTTGATTCCGGTTTAGATGCGACTAAATCTCTCACGATATACTCGATGTTATAAGGTGAGGGTTTAGTCTTAGCTTTGATTGGTTGGTCGTGAGCGTCCGGTTTTGTTACACTTTTATTGTTATTCGATATGGGGACGTAGTGAGGTAAAGCTGGTTCAGGTTGTGTATTAAATTGATAAAGATGATTCGGTGCTATGGTAGGCTTCCTGGCTGGAACAAAGACAACAAAATATGCCAATACAAACAAGTTCGTGGAATAATGAATTAGTTAACAAGTTATATCTAGAAAATGTTTCAATGAATATAACTATTTGCACAAATAATTAACACTACATAAAGTGCAAATAATTACAAGAAGTTCCAAAGCACTTTTGAAAAACCAACAGTGGTTATACACTTTGCTTTGAAATAATGAATTTCCAGGGTGAGTAAATAGACAAAATTCTGCAATTTTTTCTTACAAGTATTAAAAATTAAGTGATATTGGCTAGAGTTAACCGAAAAGATGGAAGAATCCTGCATAATTAACTAACCCTGGTACAGTAAGACAAAAAAATCTCGTCTATGATGCTTACATGATACGTGATAATTTCAGCGTATCCACTAAAACATTAAAAACCAAAACCAATTTAAGCATACACAGTGACAAGAATTTTTTTGCTCACTGATTAAAAATATGATGTTGAATGATGATACGTTTATTACAATGAAATATTGCTGCCACCAAACTTACATTGTATATAATGTTAAAAACAACTTAAACAATAAAGCAAAGCAAAAGCATAACAGGTAACATAAACTTTGTTAAGTTGTTATTGTAAAAAAAGTGTATTTCTGTATTTTACTAAAACTACACTGTACCCATAGTACCCCGGCTATACCAAACACGAATGATTTTTATTATTATTAAAAGACGTTTAGTTCCACTAGGAACAAGTATAGTGTCACTCATGGTAAATTTTGTTTAATTTTTTAATAGTATCTTATGTAGTTTTATGCGACAAATTTTAGTGGTAGAAAAATAGCTGACCGTAAATGATTTTTTTTTTTATTTAAGCAATCCAAAACATTATTGGTCACCTCCATGATGATTTCAGAGGGAAAAGATAATGTAAATTGCTGGGTTCTTTTATCGTCTGCAGTGGTTTTTTAATGATGAATTCTAAAATCTAAATTCTTTGGTTTACAAACCAAATGAAAAATAGCAGCATTTAAAATCCATAGTCAACCCCAATTTCACACAACACTTGTAGTTTTTGATTTATATCAATTTAAAATAAATAGAATCAGAATAGCCCAGAGAATAGGTGTAATTTAATTTAAAAAAGTGGTTCTTGGAAATTACAGTTTGGCGCCTTAAAAATTATTGCATGTAACAAAAATTTATTTTTCCCTATCCAACTACAGGGTGAGTCACTAGGCGCTCCATCCTCGATTGTTCATTTATTTACAGATGGAAAAAAAGAGTTAAAGACCAAAGTTGCATAGTTCTTGGAATAAAATTATTTTCAACTCTACAAAGTGTTCTTTTTTTGAAGCATAACATTCAACTTACTTTTTTTTCGGAACATGCTATATATTTCACCTAGTCTGATTGGGCTCGTCCTATCCTCCACAATCATGGTTCACTTTTGAAATTTTGCAATGTTGGCACGTTATTGCAATTTTATTTAAAAATTTTAGCAATGCGGGGGTTCATAAAAACTACAATCAAATTATTTTTAAAACCTGTGTTATAATATTTTATAGAGAGGTAAACAAAAGTACATGCTTTGTCATGGTATCAATTAAATTTTAATATACCGAGTGTTTATAAAAAAAGAACACCCTCGATCTTATTACTGCATCTTACTCTATATTTTATTCTTTAGGTATAGAAACAACAAAAATGAAAGAAAATTAAAAACGGAAAAACATTTGAAAAACTGTAAAATCGATAGTTGAAAGTTATATTACTTTTAAATTTTTTTATAAACACCTTGTATATTAACGCGCAATTTAAGTTATACTACAACAAAGCGCGTATCTTTATTAATCCTGTCCACAATTTTTTTGTCCTTATTGTGATTTTTTTTCTGAACCATTGCATTGCTAAAAAATGTCAAGAAAGTTGGAATCTCAAAAATCAACCATGGTTTTAAATCCTAAAAAGAAGCCAATGAGAATATATATTTATATATATTTTTCTATACATATTCTGATTGTTCTCTTCCTAGGCTTTATAACTACAGTCTATTTTCGAAATTCCAATGCGAGGTTATCGAGTTATTCCAATCTTTTAGAAATTTTTTAGCGATGGAAGGGTTCTCAAAAAAATCACAGCTGGGTTATTTTTAAAATCTGTTACAATATTTTGTGGAGGTACGGGCTTTATTGTGGTTTGTGTTTATAAAAAAATACATTATAACAAAGTTAAAATACAGAGTGTTCTATCTGAAAAAGCTGATATAGCGATATTTGAAAATTCTACTAAATTTTTTATAAACACTCTGTATATTACAAAATTGTATTTAATTGATCCCATAACAAAGCGCGTACCTCTGTTTATCTCGCAAATATTACACCATAGCTCTTAAAAATAACGTTATTGCGATTTTTTTGTTAACTCTTGCATTGCTAAAAAATAAAAAAAAAAAACTGAAATAACGTCGCAACGTCTCATCGGAATTTTAAAAATAGAATATGGTGGTTATAAAGCTTACGATGAGGTTAATAAGAATATGTAAAAATATATAAGGTAAATTGTGTGCTATACGTCGAAATCAAAACACTGTATATTCGACAATTATTTTAATGTATGTTACACCAAAGAGCCGTACAACTTTTGTCTGTGACTTTTTTCTATTTCTAATAATGAGATATAGCGTTTAGTGACTCACCCTGTATAAGAAAAAGGCATCCCAAAGTCACCAATTTTTCAATTTAAACATAGTGATTTTTTGAACGGTAATATTTTATTTCATGTTAATAACTTTACAGAAAAAAGTACATTAAATTTAACCACGAACAGAACTCGTCAACAGAAAACATTTTTCTATTTAGCATTTTTTTTGCCACATTTTTTTTACCCCCCCCCCCCCCCCATTATTTAACGAGCCGGCCAAGCATTTCTTCAATGGTTGACCGTGAAGTTTACTTTCGATGCATCAGGTGGAAAGTGTTTTTACCCAATTTTTTGGCGAGTTGGCTAGCGATAACGTTTTATCAGCGTCCAAACAGTTAGTTGCTTTTCGACTTTCCTTTGCGGTGTGTTCAATTTTCGTTGTGTGAAGTTATGCCGAGCTATTCGTACAGTGAATACACGGACATGGTGCTAGTGTATGGAGAAGCCCAGGGAAATGCAGTGTAAGCACAAATAATTTTTTTACTCTTGAAATTTTGCGGGAATGAATGATACGTGCTGCTGAAACAACGAAATTATGTTACAAAGGGTCAAAGACTCATTTCGTCGCCGTCTCCAGTGCTGTCTCGACAATAATGGTGGCCACTTTGAACACTTCTTATGAAGTTTTTCACAATTTCAAGGTAGGTCTCCATTACCTATTACAGCCTTGCATTCAAATGTTTACATTTTTTGTTCCGGTTGTGTTCATTTCTTATCCCTCTCCACAAGAAACTGCTTTGTTAGCCATGGGGGTAGGTGAATTTGTATTAAATCTTCGACTAATTTTAACTCAATCACGAAAGGATTTACGACAAAATGTTATTTACAAATTTAATTGCTTTGGATTAGTTCTATTACCAGTTAAAATTAATGTATTTTTTTCTGTAACACGCTGTCTACTCAAGTCGACAGGTGTAATGTAACACTAATTATGAATTTATTTTTTCCAGAATATCACTGAAACTCGATAAATTAAGATGATCAAGCCAATAATTTTTTTTTTCTGAAAAATAACACCTAAGGGTGTATTTTCCGCTCAAATTTTTTTAAATAAAGTCATAATTTCTTGAAAGGGATGAATAAAACATTTTAGTTGATGTACAACCCCTCAAAGCTGATAACTTACCTAAATTTCTAAGTTACGTATTCTTGGATATAATTGCAAAATATGATACTCCAAACTTAATTATTTAAAACAACCCGTACACGTAAAGCTAAAAAGGAGGGTGGAATGTTTTTCCAACTCTTCTTCCATCTAGAACTGTGTCGCAAATGCCGCAGAGTAGTCCATATTTCAGAAAAATATATATATGTATATAAAAACGAGTTCAGTCTTGTGGACACTCTCAGGTAGACAAAAAATAAATTAAGTCTATACTGTGTCTGTTCACAAACCACGAATATTTCCTGGAAAAACAAAAAGACGCACATAATGCTATACACTTAAAACTCAATTTACCTACTTAACAATCTTTTGAAACGACGCTATCAATCTTTGGGGGCAATGAACGAATAAATTCTGGTTAGTGGTTCAATCAATACCTTGACGATAATTTTAAGTACGCTTAAAATGTCACAGTAATTGATTTGCTAGTTTTTTACAAAGATCTCAACGGACACAAAAAATAGTTCAGTAGCCTATTGGTGTCATAAATATCATGGTTTTGAACGAAAGACCCATGGAATTCTATTTAAGAGCTCCGATTTTTTTTATCAAAAGCTATATATCTCGATTCAATCGGATATCGATGACGTTACAAACGCCATACTTTAAAAAGCTATAATTCAAAAACTACAAACGCTAGATAGATGGGGTTTTCACATAATTTCAACAGAATTTGCATTTTCCCCGTTAAACAATGACGTCGGTAGCGCAACATATATATGCAATGATCGCAGATCACCACTCAAACCTCCTAATCCTAACAATGTAACAGTGGACCTCATCAACGTGCAAAAAATAAATAAAACTAAAAACTTAATAAAATCCTCGAATTACCGAAAAATAAATAATCTTGGGGTAGGGCTAGGACAGTTCACAAACCAAGCAAGATCAGGCATTTTCTCCTTTGTCGCGAATCCCCTCACCTGCGCTTGAAGCAGCCGGCCGGTCGTCCGTCACCGTTTTCGTCACATCACTCGTCGAATTCGCATTTACCACACTAGTACTAGTTACGGGTGTCGGCGCCACGCTTATTTTAGGCACTGTAGTCAATTTGGGCGTCGGCGCTTTCGGTGCTTGACTAGAAGACTGACCCAGCGTCGACGCGTTGTTAATCAACGGCCCCGACGGCTGGATGATCGGCGACTGTCTCTGCTGCTGGCTCAGGTTGAGCGTGTAACCGGAGCCCGAATGCAGGTTCGTGTGGGGCGAGTGGCGCTGGAGCGACGGACTCGATCGCGGCACGGGGTAGTTGTGCGAAAGGGAGCTGGGGGTGAGGAAGCCGGCGCTCAGCGGCGACTGGCGCGTCGTCGAGGTCAGGCTCAGGGGGGTCGACGGTAACATTGAGCCGGAATGTAAGATCGGAAGCATCATCTGAGACTGGCTAGAGAGATGCGACGGAGTCATGTGCGGCGAAATACGGGCCTGCTGGGCTTTCTCGCGGTCGCGTTGGGCACGTTCTTTTTCGCGCTGCTCGCGCTCGCGCTGCTGCTGGAGCAACTCGCGGTGTTCCAGGATCTCGCGCTCGGTTTGCTCGTCTTTACGCACCGCTGCTAGACGCTGCCGGTGCTCCTCTTCCAGTTTTAACCTGCAAATGTTACAATGCGTCATTAATGTTCTGGTGAGTTTATTCTAATAACTTTGGAAAAACATGATTCTATTTTTTGTCGACTCACCGCTCATGCAGATACAAAGGCATTGTAGTTCCAGGAATCATGTACGGTAAATACGCAGGTCCCAAAGGTGGCCACGGTGGCCTCAACAAGCCCATCCTCTCGTAATACAGCTGCTCATCTAACATCGGCATCGGCGGATAACCGTACGGAGAATACCCTGGAACCTCCAGCCCTATAGGAACCGACGGCATCCTTTCTTCGGCACGATAGGGTTGAAACCCGCTTCTACCTAAATCCGTCAAGCAGGACTGGGGGTATCTCTCGGTTGCATTTCCTACTGATATTCTAGTCTCCGGCGGTCGTATTGCCGAAGTTGCGTACAAAGGTAATTCAGTCGTGACTTTCTGTTTTTCAGGAGGTTGGATAGTTGCTTGACGTACCAAAATGAATCAATGAAAATATTTAAGACGATTATTTCTTTCTAGTACCTGCTTCTCTGCGTAGTGGTTCTGGGGCTATGGGTGCAGCCGTTGAATGTTCAGCTCCTGGAACCGACTGTTGGGCCAAATTTCGCAACGCCGCTGCAAAAGAATGAGAACTCTGTGACTGCGTTCCAGGACCAGGTCCTGGAACCGCGTGGCCCGTCGTTACCCTTGGTTTTGCACTGCCATTAGTTGAAACTATTACTTTAGGACTGTGTGGTACTGTAAATAAATCATGTTGATTAAATTAAACACAGTAATGACTTTTATCTCATTTGTTTATTATTATTTTTTTAATCTTGTGGTTGATGCAATAAAGATGTACAATATACATATTTTTTATTTCCAAAGGTAACAATTACTTCTTAGTTGCAAAGAATGCTTAAGAAGGTGTTATATACTTTCAAAATGTTCTGGTAATTCGATTTTTTGTAGCACTGAAACACATCCGTGTGATCGAAAATAAAATCAATAAAGTTAGATTAACTAATTGTACAGATGGTATCATAAGTGTCAAAAATTAAAAAAGTGCACCAATCAAATTCAGGGAAATGCCAACTAAGTCATTTTATTTTCGATCGCGCGATTTTATGGAAAAGCACCAAGGTTCAGTATGTCTCTGTAACAATTTTCCCTTGACGTCTAAAACCCATTCTACTGTTGTAATCATATAGGTGGTACAACTGATAAATGACCTATCACCTGTCAGTGTTACAAAAAGCGAATAATTCTAGGTTATGTTGACACTGATTTATGTCAAAGTAAGAGCAGTAGTACCACCCAAAGCTTGACAGGCAACGCCAACTCTAATTCATTTTATATTCAACAAATTTTATTTTGGGGCAAACGTAACTTCGTAAAAAAATTTGCCTACACGTTTCCTTTTATAAGCTTCAATTTAGTAGATTATTCACCCTATCTCGTGGAGTCACTTCCATTCTTAAGTTGTGATTAGATTATGATTACAGAGAGGGACACCACTTGTTGATTTATGCTATTATTATATAAAGCAACCCCCGCCAATCACGTTAGATGTACTCTTACATTCTACACTAATTATTATTAGTGCGTTATTTAGTTTAGTTATTTTTGAATAAAAATTAGATTTACACCGACTATTTTTAACAATGTTAAAATTTATGAATAAACTGTACAGATGGGAGAATGTGATAATGTTTCTAAATTAGCGTTTACTACACAAACAGTGTTGTTTGATAGATATTTCATAAACTAAATCCCATTCCAATTTGATATGACTTCCCGACAACTTTCAACGCTCGATAATTTAAAAGCTTTCCCATTGTCGGTAAAATTTGCATCAAACTAATTATGTGTACGACAACAAACCAAATTCTAAACAAGTTTTAATCACACGTATCGATTTGAAATGGGTTTTACATGACACATGATCAAATAGTTCTAGATTGTTCAAGGAAATATTAGTTAACATCGGATTGATTAGATGGCGTGACAAGTACATAAAAAGAAATACTCCATTTTGCGTTTCTGTCTTTCTTTTGATTGATGCGACATTATTTAAACCACCGAAATTTATTGCATTTGAAATATTTATTCTATGCAGTTAAATTACACAAGTTAAAGGCGACACACATTTAAGTGTGACAGAAAAATCCTAATCTTTTGATCTAGTCGTTATCAAAATTGTTTGCCACATTCAGCTACTCGTCTAAATAATAAAAAAAAAATTATCAACTACTGTCTCACTACTGTCCAAATCACGTGGCTAAATTTCCACACACTATCATAACTTATTGAAAAATATTTATAAACATGCAGAAAATACAAGGATCAACGCAGTTGTTTGAAATAATTCCGATGAGCGATAACTGATAACCCCAATGTTAAGAACGTGTGAACATGCATTAAAGAAAAAATGAACCCAATGACCTTGACAAGACTATCAAGACCCTTTAGACCTCGACATTTGAACTGGTCCCGTCAAACACAATCGATCCCTGTTATTAAATTTACTAGTAAAGCGACGTCTACTTAACACAATATACAATATCAGGCGACTATCCCAACAAAGCAAATTTTTAATGGAGAAAAATCTCAATAAAAGCACCGTTAAAAAGAGATTAATTTCTGGGGGTTATTACCGCATAAAAGGGATAGCGCATTTCCGCACGGGCCGACCGAAGAGAAACTGTCCCTGAGAGGGAAGCAGAACGTATTCAAAAAGCAAAGCAGCACAGAATCCAATGAATATTTGATAACGCATGCTGGATATCGTTATGAAGAACTTACGATACAATCCACGCTGAGAAAGGGAAGAATTTAATACGTTTTCACCCTCGTATTTGTTTCCGTGAAAAAAAAGAACGCAATATAATTTGCACTCGCGCGAAATTTTCATTTTAATTAATTCTTATCGTTCGGAGATTTGAACTGTTCGAGATCGGAAACTAGAAATGAGGGCGGAAAACTCGATTTGAGAATTTTACAATTCTAATTTCGTCTCGATTTGAACAAAAAACAAGTCTAGTTGGTCGTGTGACTCTTAAGTTTGGACTTTGTTCGTTGCTAATTTCTCTAGTCATTGGTAATAAACAAAATATCATGTAACAGTACATTGTGAAATAAGTGTGAAAAGCGATTCATTTCTCACTACATGAGAGTGTGAAAGGTATAATCTAACTGGGTGACACTTTTTTAAACGGTGTTTGAATGTTAAGAATTGATAGACAAATTTTTATCTCGATCATGGAGTACACAGGTGCGATGGAAAATAAAAAGAATTAGAGGTGGTTGTGACCAGTTATATAGGTGGTATTACTGCACAACTGACATCCCATTCCGTCAACTGATAAATGACAGATCTCCTGACATCTGTCAATATTAAAAATAAACAGGTTAAAACAGATTTCCTTGTCTACTAACGAAAATGGAGACTTACGGGAAACACTATAGTAAAGTTATAACCAGTGGTGTAAATAACACTCTTGCGGCTTTTTTGACTTAAGTTTTCAATTCTTCAATTTTTCTTTTTTTTTATTTCTTCAGTTTTGCGATTTACAATTTTTGCAGTTTTTCAATTTTCCAACTTCAAAATTTTTTAATTTTTCGATTCTATAATATTTTTAAAATTGAAACTGAAAAAACAAAAATCGGAGCATTGAAAAATCAAAAAATTGTAAAAATAAACTGAAAATTTGAAGAAATGAAAAATCAAAACGAAAATTGAAAACTGAAAATTCTCAATTCTTCAAATTTCTATTTGTAATTCTTCGTTTCTGATTTTTATTTTCTATATTTTTACAAATTTTTTATTTTTCTATGTTCTGATTTTATAATTTTTTGTTTTTTCAGCTTCAATTTTTCGTTTCTTCAATATTTCGATTTGCAATTTTTTGGTTTTTCATCTTTCAGATTTTTTAATTTTTCGTTTTTCAATTTCTCGATTCTTCAATTTTTGATTTGCAATTTTTCTAGTTTCATTTATTCGATTTTTCGATCTTATGATTTTCTTTCAGTTTTCCAAATTTTCGATTAGATTCGTTTTATCTTCTTTCCATTTCGATCATGATTTTTTTTTGTATTTTTAAGTTTCTCGATTTTTAGATTTTAATGTTTGAATTTTTCGTTTCTTCACTTCTTCGATTTAAAACTTTTTGATTTTCCACTTTTGCAACTTTTCATCAAAAAAAAAAAAAAATTGAACAATTGCAAAATAGTAAAATTGATAAGATCAAGAATGAAGAAAAAACGAAAAAGCATCAAATGAAAACTTAGAAAATACAAACTGGAAACAAGAACTTGAAAAATTGAAGAAACGAAAAACCGAAAGATTAAAAATTCTGAAACTGGAAAAACGAAAAAAAGAAAAATTACAAATCGTAAAATTCAAGATATGAAAAAGTGAAACATTTGGAGGTCGAAATCGAAAAAATTAAAGTTGAAAAAAAATTGTAAAATCAACATTTTTGCAAGGACACGTACAGCTGGTTTAAAAAAAACGGGACAAGACAGGTTTCATAGATCAATGAAAAGCCATGGGAATCATGTCACTGTCATTTGTCCCATTTTTTTGTAAACCATTAACCACATATTAATTTCGGTAGATGAAGTGTAATACTAATAATAACAATTCTGTATTCTCAAATTTTCGGGACAATGGAGAGAATCGTTCTTGATTTTCATTAATACAATAAATTGCCTCAATTATTAATTTTTTTGAGTCACCCTGTATAAGTAATTCTAAAATCAATAAATACATTGATAAACCACAACTATAGTCATAATATTTTGCATATTTTAGAGAGCATTTATTTGGGAAAATTTTGAGATGACGTCATTAATTTTCTGGAAAGGAATAAACGAAGTGCAAAATTTCAGAGCGTTCGGTTTTGCAGTTTCAAAGTTAAATTGCAAACTGTTATAAAATTTTGATTTTCTTCCAAAAATCTGGATGTTTATCCAAATCTACATGCTGTTCCTAATACACATACAAAGTTTGACAACAATCGGTTCAGTATTTTAGGAGATTATCTGTCTAAGAAAAATTCCGATAGCCCGCAGACAAGACAGACAGAAACGGGAGACATATTTGTTCGTAATCTAGCTTACACCTAGGGAAGTAAAAACCTACCATTTTTTTCTAAATTTTGTTTGTAATTCTACTACTGACTTTTTTTTTTTCGAACTCGATATTTATTTTACGAGAATTTTTAAAAACTGTATGATTTTTTTTCTTTCTACTACCTGAAATCAAAACGAATTTATCCTACGACAAAGGGACGGTGATACAAGGCTTATTCAAAATTAAACCTGGTTTAATCATCTCATACATACATAGTTTTGTCCCTATAATGTAAGTTATTTGCTACTTCTCATTAAAATAGAAATATGACAGCGTCAAAACAAACTACACTTAACTAAACCGTGTTAAGAAAAAAGTTAATGTGTACCTCATCAGGAAAATTACTTTGATCATTCACGTGATTTGGTTTCGCCTCAACAAATACCCACACTTGTGTTAAAAACTCCAACAGCCAGATTTTTGCAAGAGAAAAAATTCAAACACTTGCTTGGAATAGGTGCTGCAAACGAATCCTAATTTCAATCGATTTATTTTCCCTTCAAAATTCGCCCAAAGTCGAAAAACCCACCAAACAAAATGGTTTTCGGCTAAGCGCCTGCAAAATCCCAGCTCGAATTTTTGTGGGCGAATTCAAGCCACAAAACCCCTCACTTAAACCAGG